ATGGTATATCATACTAGCAGTCGGAGCTCGTACAGCTCGAGAAGATGCTCGAAGAGTTTGACTTAGGCTGGCAGCTCGGATGGATCTCGAGCATTGCATTGACTTAGTCCGCTAGATACTCGACCTAGAGCTAAAAAGGTTAGATGGTGACCTCAAAGACAACTATCGGTTCAACATCGCTGGAATAGGGGAAAATAAAGGTGATCGAACAACTTAGTTTGATCAGTCAAAGGGCAATTATTTCGGAAGCAAAATAATGTGTGAATACAATAGTGCGAATGCATTTGTATAAGAATGATACTCGGAAAACAAGATTGGGCATATCTTGGGCAACACGGGCATTGGGGAAACACGATCGGGCAGATCTCGGGCAGCCTGGGCGCTCGGGCAGCAAGATCAAAGAGATCTTGGGCAACAAGGTACTGGTTTGATATAAAGAAGTGAGGTATGGGTATCACTTCTTTCTTCTCTTTCTGAACATTCTAGGTTATTATTACCCATGCAACACCCTCTCCACCAATACTGAGTTGACCATTGGAGGTCCTACGCTTAAAAATCTCAAGGCGTTGTTTTGTAGGTAATCGGAGAGATTCAATGACGGTTCAGACGACAGTGGACTAGATAGAGATTGTTTTACACTCCAAGTATGTATATATATGTGTGCACAACACATACCAATTTTTTTATATTTGGATCAACACATAATGAATGTATATATGTGTCTGAATGTGTGATCCCACGATATGAAACCCGATGTGTGCAACTGTAGAACTAAATTTACCGTTCTTACTTAACTAAATTTCATATTATTAAGGGGGCAATTGTATACAAATTGTACGGTAAAAAAACCAATCAAAACTCAAATTTAACTCAACTTTAACTCAACTCCAATATCTTCAATATTATCAATATAATTAAATAATATCAACCAATCATTCTTACGCATTACATCAACTTTTATTCACTATTCATCTACTCACATAATTTTAACTAATTATCACTTCCAATCATTTTCTCCTATTTTTACATCAAATCAACTTTAATTATTTTATTTTAAAATATAATTTTAATATATCCACTAATAACTAACCATACCACCTTTTTTCAAACTTAATATAGTTAAAAAATTTAGTTGAATTCATATCCAATAACCCCCCTAATTATTATTATTGTATTTTGAAACTACTATTGTAGTGAGATTTTTTTATTTGATATGGTTAATTTTAAAAAAGTAGTATGGTTAGTTGTTAGTGAGATTTTTAGTTTATATTAAAATAATATCTAAAATAAAATAATTAAAGTTGATTTGATGTAAAAATAGGAGATAAATGATGTGAAATGATGGTTAGTTAAAACTATGTGAGTAGATGAATAGTAAATTAAGGTTGATGTAATGTGTAATTGTAACACCCCACTTTTATTTGCCGAAATTCCGGACTTTCAGAAAATCAGAATAAATTTTTCAAAATTTATTTCAAACATTTGTGGAGTTACTCATATTTTTCAATTGACATAACATCAGTTCATAACATAAATCATCTAACTCTCAGATCGATATCCATAAATTCATAAATCCATAAATCACAATTTCACCCCAAACGGGTTCCCAAGATAAAACTCAAGTTTTAAGACATGACAATGTCAACGGGGCATCTCCCCAATAGTATCTCGATACTTCATAAATTCTCAAGTTCGAAAATGCATAAATCGTAAATAGTCATAAAGATAGCGGAAGCAAAATCATTTAATAACCGGTCTCATAGACCGACTACCACTCGCTCTACTCTGTCGTCGTACCTGCCTCGCTTAACCTGAAACGTGAATTTCAGGTGGGGATGAGCACAGTTGGAAAAAGTAGTGCTCACCACTATGCAGTAAACATTATTCACAATAATGAAACAGTAATCGATAATCAACAAGGTATGGTCTCAGCATGTATACGAATCAATTAATTATCCCAATCTCCCATCAATCATATCAATAATAGACTCATGTGCACATCTATACCAATAGACTACTGCCGGTAGATGTATCGAAGGCCGTCGCTCGGGTCATGCTTCGAATGCCCCATGGGCTCTACATCTATGCCCTCCGGTCCTACACACCGAATCGCCCCACGGGCTTCCATCGATGCCCGGTCAGTAGGAGTAACCCGCCGGCCAAGGCCTCACCTTGGTCTTACCAACGGGTTGTCCAACACAGGGACCTTTAACCCAGGACTTACGGCTCAAAATGTGTCCAGCACAGGGACCTTTAACCCAGGACTTACGGCTCAAAATGTGTCCAGCACAGGAACCTTTAACCCAGGACTTACGGCTCACAATAATAATGAAACTACCCAACAGGTACGTTCTATAGCTACTGGGATAACCGTTCGACGGCCGGTACAGCTCACATCGAAGGCTACATGTTCCGCATGCATACTTGATCATACCAAAAATTTAAAACAGTAATAACATTTACAGCATAGATAGTTTTACATTAAACCCACCTGGAATCCGTAGTAGCAAAAGTACACAAGCTGAAGAACATAGGTCGAGGGCTCGACTCCTCAAACCTAGAGATAAGGATTTAATTATTATTAAGGGTTTCGATTGGATTGATTAGGCCACAAAAACAAGTAAAGCACACTTCAACACTAAACCGCATCAAAAGGCTCAACACTGAACTTAATCAATCAAAGCTCAAAACAATAAGTTGAACTTATAATACACATAAAATACAACATGTAAGCATTCAATTAAAGCATACAAAACACATGACATAGCCTTCCATTCTCTTTACTCAAGTTCAAAAATTACCATTTTCTAACCACCAATTAAACACACAAATCTGAAATTTATTCACGATTTCAACATGCTAACCATACAAAAGAAAAAGGGTCCAGTAACAGTAGGTAAACTCAAGGCAAAAACTAGCACAATAAACAATTCAAACTAGTATAATTTTTTACAACTTGAGAACAAACAAGGTTCCAAGTCCACGTCCACTATTTATGTCAAAGTAGCACTTTCAAAAGCAATATGCATATTGATTATAAGTCTTATGAGCACTTCGCAAAACAAAAAGAAATTTTGTGCTCACAGTATATATATTCATCCAACAGTAACATAAGATACCTTAACCTATATATCTCATTAATACTTAAAAGCACGTATCTCACATATTCAAAATACTTGTTGATGGTTTTGGTGAACAACCGCCACTACAGAGCAATAAAGTCCCATGTACCAACGAAATATTACTGTGGTCTACTTTTAAGAATCACATGAACTATTAGACAATTAACATTAACAATGCCATAAAACACTCTTAACAATTTAGCAGGATAAACTCCAATTATTTGCTTACCTAGAAATGTAATGCTATCTTAAATTAACAACTAAACAAAAGTTTAAATAAACACATCAAAAAGGACTCAGCAATAAGGCATTTATCAAGGTACAAAACATAACACAATCAAGCCTTCCTTTTCTTCATTCTTATCATCTACTTAACTTTAACAATAAACTTAAGGCCCTAAAACCGAGTACATATCAGCATGTAGGTCATATAAATTTAACCAAACGTACATCAAAAGTGGACCAAAAATATAACACAGCATGCCTTATATCATCTCGTTTTCTCATGCTCGAAATTATATTCACTTTCACATAGCAGGAAGAACACTTCCACAATATAATCTCAATTTTCCAACAATTCACACATCACAACCAACTCAATAATCAAAAAAAATGAAATCAACTTCCAGCAATCTCAGGAGTCGGTTTAGCCAATATACCTCTCTCGGCTTAAGAAAGGGGCAGGGCTCGGTTAAGCGGTTCTCGGCTCCGAGCTCGTCAGACAAGGTCGGGTGCCGAGGACGGTCGACGGGGTGCCGCTGCTCTTCCCACACGGGCCCGAAAGGCTACCGCTGCTGTTTCGGGCTCCCCTCGCACACGAACGGGGTTGCTCGACTCACCGGCGGGGAGAAAATAGAAAAGAAACCGGCCGCCGCTGAAGATCGGGGGTCGTCAGAAGAGTTGTGACGCGGTTGGGCTCCAAGCGATGGGCCGTGTGGGTTGCTGGACGGGCTGGAAGTTGAAGGTCTTAGCCGTTGCCGGAGGACGGGGCTGAATAGAACTCGATTGTGGGGTCTTCCTCTGCCACCAAAGGTCGGGTCTCACCTTTTCTGTTCGTCGGTACTACTCTCTCAGCGGTCTGAGGTCTCGGTCGTCGAGAGCTCGAAATCGGCTGACGGTGGTCGGGGCTCGCGAGCAGACGCGGCCAATTGATAGTCGATGCCCGAAATCGCCGGAGGCTGGAGAACATCGGCGAAGGACTTGACGGTGCTGGGATACCGTCGGTCAGCGGCGACGAGTTTCTATTATCGGCGTGCGACGGCGGCTCGGCGATGGAGGTGCTCGAGGACGCCGGTGAAAGGGCTCGCGAGGGATCGACAGCGGTTGACGCCAGCGAAAGGACCGTTCCATCGCGAACAGAGGAATAGGGTCGCCGCTCATCTTCTCGCCGGAAATTGCTAATTGGTCGCGACTTGTAACGCCGGCGGGTTAGAGGAGAAGAGACGTGTGAAGCCGATGGATATTTTGGAGAAAGAGGGCCGAGGGTTTTCAATTTGTGAGAAGGCTGACTTTTCGATCTCAATCCGGTCGAGATTTCTCCTTGTGATATTTGAATGCGAGAGACGAGAGACGAGAATAATGGTGGAGAGATTTGGGGAATTTGGTGAAGAATAGATCAATTTGCACGTGCATAAAGGAAAATTGGGCCCATGACCTTACAACATTGGGCCAAAGTAAATAACTTAATTTGACCTGGTTCCACTCAAGACTAAAATCATTTCTCAAATGGGCTGAGAAACTCCAGCTTTGGGCCGAACAAATAAAACGTAAAGAGGCTCGAAAAGGACTTGGGCATATCGGTTCGAGGTTCGGTCCAAACGTCCGGGAAAAATAACAAGAACGGATCGAAACGGATTAAAACAAATTAAATTCGGTTTACGCGATTAAACCGAAAATCGCCAAAACTATTAAAAATTTCAACCAAATAAATCCTAATAATTCTAATACACATAACTAATATATAAACATATAATAATCACATATATTTGCCTTATGACAATTTTATATCAAGTAGACAAGACGAGCAATTAACAAAATAAACGGGTAAATAAATAAAGCATAGGCAAATAATCGATTATAAGCAAATGAAATAATCATATAAAATCCAGAAAATTCTAATAAACGAACGGCTTATAAGCTACGCGATTAAACCGATATCACCGAACGACGAACGTTTTAAAATAAAACGATCGAGTACTTCAACATGGAATTTAAGTCGACAACGCGACTAATACAATAAATATAATCTTATAAATCAAATTCGATAAATAAAATAATCCCAGAAATTCTATAAATCGAACGGGGCGCTACAGTAATAATGATCGAGTAATATTATTTAATTATATTGATAATATTAAGGATAATGATGTTAAGTTAAATTTAAGTTAAAGAAAAATTATTAATTAAAAATAATTTAATTTTGTTGGATAAATTTGTATCTAACCATCCCCCTTACCAGATCCGAGAAAAATAATCAACATCCATCATTTGAGCTACAACGCTACCATAATTATTATGTCTGGTGGACAAATCAATAACTATTTCTCCTTTTTGAATACTAGTGTGTAGCCCGTGCGATGCACGGGTAATAATATTAAACAATAATTATAAATTAAAGAGGAAAGTAAATAATACTATTAACTAATAATTATATTTTGAAGATGTGGGGTAACATATATATGTAAGAAGTATATAAAACATTCTATGTTGAAGGCAATTCTCATTCAACAGGAAATAGTGTAAATAACGCAAAAAGTCAAGCTTTATACACACTAACATGACCCACATACACGAAAATGGTGATAGGACGATCTAAATCGGTCAAAATGATCAAAGGTCGTGAACAATTCGTTTCACATATAAAAGGCAAAATTTCCCAACTTTTTAGGGTTTTCATAAGATCCACCTATCATTTTATGTTTTTCCTTAACTTTGTTTCGTTCAATTCTAAAGAACGATTCACAAATTAACCTTGTGAGTCTTATGTTTTTGTCTGCAATCGACGATAATTATTTCCAGAAATCACGTAAAATCAACAAATAACACAATTTAATTAAAAAATATGACAAATTTAACGGGTTGATTTTCTGTAATTTTATTATTAATTTACCCAGTTTGAAAATATTTGGATCATTTGTTTATGAATATTTGTGGAATAATGGAGAACAAATCATCGTATTGTAAAGAGAAATTTTATGTGCAAACATAAAATGTTGGTATTATTTGAGTTTAAATATTGTGTGTATGATCTATTTAGAGCCTTCTAATTTTTTATTTTCCTGAACTTGAATTTGATTAAATATTATTGGGGTATAATCTTTATTTAGAATTTATTATCTATTTTTCTTTTAATTTCTTGAACTTGAATTTGGATTCGCCTGAAAGGTTCCCTTGTGCTTGATTATGAATCAGATAAGATTAATTTAGGGACCAAATTATTGATTTTCAAATTAAATGTTGTGAGTTGATTAGATTTGAGAAAGCTGCTCGATTTTATTTTTTTTTCGTCCAAAATAAATCTGGACTAAAATAGTTGGGTAGTCTTTTTTATTAGAAATCTACGAAATTTACCCATCACATGCTCAATTATGTTAATGAAAACATGCAATTGAGGAGATAATTTTTCTAACTTGCTGAGATGTATTATTAGAAAAAAACATGTTGGAATTTTTTAAGAATAGGGAGAATCCCAAAACTGGGAGAATAGGGAGAATCTCGAAATCCCAAAATTGTTCCGATTTTTCAGAATAGGGAGAATCCCATCCCACTATTTGTCCGATTTCATTTATTGCTATCTATATATATATATATATAATAAGAATTAACATTTATTAAAAATAGTAGGTCAAACATGGTCAAATTTCTGTCAGAATTAATTATTTACCATTTTTAGTAGTTTTTTTTTCAAACAAATCGGGCAGCATTAGATGCTGCCCTTAAATTATGGTATCTCTTA